TTTACAAAAAAAATTTACTTTCCAAGCACTCACATAAGATATTTAATTTTGTTACAAAAATATAACCAATTATAAGTAGGCAATATCAAAATTGATATAATGATCAAAAACTACATAATAATTTATTAAAAGAGATTAGAAGGACCATTTTTTTATTCAAAAAAATCCTTGTAAGTTCGTGTTTAGCTTTAATATTTTGAATTCAGTTTTTTTAAAATTGAGTTTTTTTTTTTGTATTTTTTATTTTTAGTAAATATTTTTAAAATTTTAAATAATTTTTTTAAACTTTTTTAGATACACCTTAGAACTATTTAAATAGTAAAATGTTTGTGAAAAAATATTTTAAAAATTAATAAATATACAAAAATACAAAAAATGTAATGAATTTTCTTATTTATTTTGTATTTTTTGGTATTTAGTGTATTTTTTAAATATTTTTTTTACAAATATTATACTTTTTAAGTGTATTTATGTTCAGGGTGTCTAAAAAGTAAAAAAATTACTTAAACTATTAAAAAAATTCATCGAAAATATTAAAATACGAAAAATAAAAAAGTAAAATTTTTTAAAAACTGTTTTTTGAAAATCAGAACCAAACAAAGTGATAGGATGGTAGGCTTTTATTAGATACTCATAATTTCAAATTGTAGATAGATTTGTAGGATAAAATCATAATTTTTTAAAATTTTTTTAATAACTTTTTAATTTTTATAGTAAAATGGTTGAATGTTGAGACCTAAGTTCAATTACCTTTGAAAATTGTTAAGGTACCAAGTTTAGTTACCCTTAAATTTTAGAATCAACTGTCTGAATTTTTTTTTAAAAAATAAAAATTAATTTGAAAATATTATCAATACCAAAAGATAAAACGACAAAAGTCATTTATTTGAGACGAATCTAAACGGCAAAAGTCATTTAGGTGATGTCTGGTAAACATTTTGGACTAAAAAAGTACAAAAGGACAAAAAAAAAGGGTCAAAAAATCACAAAAGGACAAAATAAGCAAAAAGATAAAAAAAAAAACACCATTCCAAAGCCAAAAAAGCCAAATAAGAATACCAAACCACTAAAAAAGTCTAAGGCCAAAAAAATCCAAAAAATCAAAAAACTAACTAAAAAAATCATTGCCAAACGAGTATTTAATGTAGAATTAGAGGAAGGAGTAGGTGAAGGATGTGTTTGGAGCCTGGTGCTAAAAATGTAACAGAAGGTGGAGTCACTACAACAAAAACATATTTTAGTGACACTATACTAGTGGTATGTTTTTAAAAAATTTCACAAAAAGAATATTTGGTCGCATTTTTTAGAAAAATGTCATAGAGCCACAAACATACAAGGTTCTAGTAGCATTTCAATTAAAAAAAAGTGTCATTTCACTACAACAAAAATGTCACTACAACAAATTTACACTTTAGTGACAATACACTAGTGGCATGTTTTTAGAAAATGCCACAAAAATAAAAATTGGTATTAAATGTTTTAGAAAAATGCCACAGAATCACAAACATATAAGGCTCTAGTGGCATTTCAATGAAGAAATGTCAAATCAATTTTATGACATTTTATAAAATAATGACAAAAAATTATGTTCGTGACATTTAACAACAGATGCCACTAAATTTTAGTAGCAATGGCATTTTTTAAAAAATGTCAGGACACTAGGTAGGTGCAAATTACTTTTATGGCACTTAGGTGAAAAGTGTCATAAACAAATATTTTATAGCATTTTGAAAAATGCCGCTAAGCCAAAAACTTTCCAAGCTTATAATGACATTTTTGAAAAAACAAAAAATGCCAATATATTTTTAAAATTTTTAAAATGCAATAAATGATTAAAAATAAATAAATAAAACTTAATATACACTACAGGAAAAAGCACATTCGGTGACTAAATTACCTGACTAAAAAAAATTTGGTTTGATTGCAAATCTGCTAAATTTATTTTAGAAAAAGATGTTGAAAATCTTGCTAGTAAACAGATTTTTGCCCGTTGGCAAGCTATTTTACTTTCAGCGACCAAAACAATATTAGTAGCCAAAAGTAAAGCTTTTTGGCGACTAAACAATTTTAGTAGCCAAAAGTCTACAATTGGCGACTAAAACTAAGTTTGGTAGCTAATTATATGAGTTTTAGTGACTAAAAAATTTTTAGTAGCCCAAAGGAAAGCTTTTTGGTGACTAAAAAAATTTAGTAGCCAAAAGTCTACAATTGGCGACTAAAAATAAGTTTGATTGCTGATTATATGGGTTTTACCAACTCAAAAAATTTTAGTACCCAAAAGTAAAACTTTTTGGTAACTAAAAAAATTTCAGTAGCCAAAAGTCTACAATTGGCGACTAAAAAATAAGTTTAGTCGCCAAAAGTGGTCATTTTTAACATGAGAGAACTAACATCTTAAGGCGGGAATTAAATTTTTTGGCGACCAAAATTTTAGTAACTGAAAGTGCATCTTCGACTACCAAATCCGATTTTGGTCAGCAAAAGTTAAGTTTTTAAGCAACTAAAAAACAATTAGTAGCCACAATAAAAAATATTTTTAGTCGCCAAAAGTGGTCTTTTTTTATTTTACTAGTAAATAGTTTATTTTGCATAAATTATGTTCAATAAAATAATTATGTTTATACATATACTTTTATATTAATATGGATGTATGTACTATATAAATAATATATGTTGCATATATAATCATGTGGTACTATAGAGGTGTAGTGAGAAGAGTGTGGTATATAAGGTTTATGGTGCGGGAGGTTGGCGGTTTGAGTCTCCGCAAGAGCAGAACAAATTGTTCTACAACGAATTATCGTCAGGAATGACACTTGATAGCGTCACGAATAGTGCCTACCATGACATTAAAGTGTCATTGAAAAGTTTTAGTCTTGATGGTGTAATGACACTTATAAGTGTCACTAACTCTTTTTTTAATGACGCTTGATAGTGCCACAAATAATATCTACGATGACATCAAAATATCATTGAAAGTTTTTAGTTATGATGGTATAGTGGCACTTGCAAGTATCTACCATGGTACGGATACAAATGACACTTGTTCAAAGTGTCACAAGACTTAAAAATGCCATTAAACTAATAATTTTGTGATACTTTCAAATGTCACTGAACTATGTCAATTAATTTGAAAATCAATAATACTTAAGACCCCATAACTCCCAATTAATTATGATCACACCTTATGTTTTTTTTATTTTTTTCTCCTCTGTTCCCCCCTCTGTCACAAAAGTGCTGGGTTCTGAAGCGTAACCCTTTGAAAATATTTATCAACATTAAAGAGATAAAACGACAAAAGCCATTTATTTGAGATGAATCTAAACGGCAAAAGTCATTTAAGAGAAGTTGGGGCCCTCACCCTTGCCTTTGCCTCTCTTCTCCCCCTCTGTCACAAAAGTGCTGGGTTCTGAAGCGTAACCCTTTGAAAATATTATCAACACTAAGAGATAAAAACGACAAAAGCCATTTATTTGAGATGAATGTAAACGGCAAAAGTCATTTAAGAGAAGTTGGGGCCCTCACCCTTGCCTTTGCCTCTCTCATGTGCAAATTACAACCCTCTCCATCCTGTCCTCCAAACCAGCACAACACATCCCTTGCCTACCATCCCTCTCTTTTGTCCTTATTTACCTTGCCTACCATCCTCTCTTTGTCCTTATTTACCGACCCTATAATTATCACATCATTTTAGTTTATATTTACATTTGTCCTTATTTCATTGGAGTATTCTATATAACAGTTTTCAATTTGTTTATATTTATATAAAATATTTATAATAATACAATATACTCAAAAAAAACTACTCCAAAAACTAACATCTTTGGTCCACAACTGTCTTAAAATTTAGTGCATATACTTGACCTACTTACAAGGTAATTTTCAAGACACAAATTTTTGGTTGATAGTATTTTCTTATAAATTTATGGTAAATAGCATTTCCTTTTACCTTATATTATAGGAGAAAATTGATGGGTCTAAAGATTAAGAGAGGTACAAGTCACATGAGCCAAACAGGTAGGAAATTGAGTTGTCAAATGTGGTTTTTCCATGAGATAGTTACAAAATACAATGAGCTTTGTCAAGTTGCCAAACCAAGAAATAGGCTTGGGGGAATGGAATTAATGATGAATCATCAACTCATCTAGACTAACACACAACCTTCCCTCCCATTCATGAGCAGTTTTTTTTGTTGGACAGCTTAAAGCCAATTCTCAAACGCAAGCCATCTTCAAAAAAAATTCTCTTTCACTTTTTATTTTTTATTTTATTTTATGCCTATATAAATGTGAGGAATGCAAAGAGTTCTCATAAGCTCTTTTGCTCTCAAACAGTCCCACCTTTTCTTCCAAACGGCTTCACACTCCATCACCAAGACATGGCTATCTTTTTTTTTTTGATCGGCAAAGAAAAATTCCATTAAAAACATAAAATTTACAGGTACAAGGAAATAAAACGTAATGAGAGAGATTCGAAGAGTAAACCTCACTCTCCTACTACTGCTACTCGCGATCTTACAACCAACCCCTTAACCAACCTCACTCTCCTACTACCAAGATATGGCTATCTTAACTGCTTCTCACATGGCTTCTGCCTTTGGCATTCTTGGTACATTCTTCATCCCCCCATTAATTGCATCTTCTTCTTCTTCTTCTTCTTAGACGTCTGGCTAGGGAGGGTGGCTAGAACTTGAGGAATCCAAGCTGAGAGAGCGTATTAATCATCACTTCGTCGAATTCGCTGATCTTCCATCTTTCCCTCCTTTCGTTCAGAGCTCGGTGGTTTATTCATATGTACCAATCGATCACCGACGCAGTTTGGAAGACAATTTACTCATAGCATGGTACACGTCCTTCATGCCTACGAAGATTGTGCAAGCCACTCATTGTCGAGAGGAAGCACAAGGGTATAACCCATCATTCTTAGCCCAGAGGGCAAAATTTTGCTCTTCTAACTAGCTTGACTGCGTAAACAACCCCCAGTTCCCTCCTTCTTTCGAGATGGATCTTCCTGCACCTCCTCTTCCGCAAAACCCTCATTGGATGATATATGCAACAAGGGAGGCCAAGGTTGGTGTCTATGCCTTGTCTTTCATTTACAAGCAATGATATACAAATAAAAAATTTATAAATCATTGATTACAGTGCGATTTTTTTTGTTGTGGGCTTTTTTTTTTCTTTTTGGAGATCATTTCAGATATATACGACAAAGTTGCTTATCATGTTTAACGTAGGAGCATTCGGTTTGATCGCGCTTTGCACATTCCTATTCTCCAAAGGGCATCAGCGAGTCACGATTGTCGGATGGATCTGCGCTGTCTTTTCTGTCTCTGTTTTTGCTGCTCCTCTTAGCATCATGGTACTTGTTTGTTATGTCGAATTCAAAATTAATCATATAAAATAATTTAAAAATTGTGCTGATAAAATTATTACTTTTTTTATTTTTATTTTTATTTTTATAGATGTACGTGTTCATGTGCTTTTTTGTTTATTTTGCAGAGGCTGGTTATAAAAACGAAGAGCGTGGAGTACATGCCATTTGCATTCTCATTTTTCCTCACACTATGTGCGATCATATGGTTTCTTTATGGCTTTTTCATAAAGGATTACTACAATGAAGTAAGTGTCCACAAAATTTATGTACACAAAGCATTATATGTCTATAATTACAAAATATTGTTACCACAATGCATTATAAATTTTGTTACAAAAATATTGCATTATATGTCTACATTGCAGTGAGTCTCTCGGGTCCTGAAAATATCTTTCAAATTTTTAAATTAAAATTGTATAGTATTAGATTTTTGCTACTTATTACTAAATAGTTTCATTTATTTATTTATTTTTCTTGTTTTTGCGCAATCAGATACCGAACATCTTAGGATTTGCATTTGGGATTGCACAAATGGCGCTGTACATCGTCTACAAGTACGCAAAAAAACAAATTTCACCACAAGTGAAGCCGCAAGATTTAGGGACGGTGATCAATCTTGTTATGTTAATTTGATTTTTTGTAAATAATTTTTGAATTTTTAATCTATATGTTTCAATATTTCTAAAATGTAAAATAATTGTGAATTTTAAAAAGAAAATCAATAACTATAAAAAAAGATATGAAAATTAACTAAATTTTTTAGTATTTACTGATTTTTAATAAAAATTATAAAATTTTGTATTTTTTGTGTATAAGATTAAGTGAATTAAAAAAAATTGACTAAAACATTAAAAGAAATTCACTGAAAGTTTAAAAAAAAAATACACAAATTCACAACGGAAACAAAAATGCAATAAATTCTTAAACATCCAAAATTACATCACTTTTTTCTTTACTTTTAAATTTACGCAATGCATTTGGGATTGCACAAATGGCGCTGTACATCGTCTACAAGTACGCAAAAAAACAAATTTTACCACAAGTGAAGCTGCAAGATTTAGAGACGGTGATCAATCTTGTTATGTTAATTTGATTTTTTGTAAATAATTTTTGAATTTTTAATCTATATGTTTCAATATTTCTAAAATGTAAAATAATTGTGAATTTTAAAAAGAAAATCAATAACTATAAAAAAAAGATATGAAAATTAACTAAATTTTTTAGTATTTAGTGATTTTTAATAAAAATTATAAAATTTCGTATTTTTTGCGTATAAGATTAAGTGAATTAAAAAAAATTGACTAAAACATTAAAAGAAATTCACTGAAAATTAAAAAAAAAATACACAAATTCACAACGGAAACAAAAGTGCAATAAATTCTTAAACATCCAAAATTACATCATTTTTTGCGTAAATTTAAAAGTAAAGAAAAAATGATGTAATTTTGGATGTTTAAGAATTTATTGCACTTTTGTTTCCGTTGTGAATTTGTGTATTTTTTTTTTAATTTTCAGTGAATTTCTTTTAATGATTTAGTCAATTTTTTTTAATTCACTTAATCTTATACACAAAAAATACAAAATTTTATAATTTTCATTAAAAATCACTAAATACTAAAAAATTTAGTTAACTTTCATATCTTTTTTTTATAGTTATTGATTTTCTTTTCAAAATTCAAAATTATTTTACATTTTAAAAATATTGAAACATATAGATTAAAAATTCAAAAATTATTTACAAAAACTCAAAACCAAACATAATTAGTAAAATCAAGACAGAAAAATTACAGTGGAGCCACCTTACTTTTCTTCATGAGACTTTCCTGGGAGACTAACATCAATCACTTTGCATTGAAACTCGTTTAAATCCATGGACTTTGATAAAATTGAAAGAGTTGATATTATCTCAAGTTCAAATCGATATAATTTGATTGACTTAGGGGTGTTTTAGAAAGTGTATTTTTTAATTTTTTTTTTTTTTGGGTTTATTTTAGTCCTTGATGAACTTTTTTTAAAATTTTTCAAAAAAGTTATAGGTTTTTAGATTAAGTTCGACAAAACGAACGGAAAAATTATAATTTTTAAAAAAATCCAAAAATAAGTAATATTTTTATGTTTATTTCGGCGTTTAGTGATTTTTTTCTAGAATTAAAAAAAAAAAAAAATAAATTCGTCTCAACAAGACGGACCAAAAAAAAAATAAATTTTGACATAATTTTGAAAAAACAAATCACTAAAGATAAAAAAATATAAAAATAGATGACTTTATTTTTGTTGCCAAAATGGTCCTTAATCAACTATTAAGCTCTCTTTAGCTTATATTTGAACATGAGAAGCCAAATATTCATTTTGGATGTGAGTTATGTAACACCAAATTTAATTCTACATTAAATGACTTTTGTCGTTTAGATTCATTTCAAATAGATGACTTTTGTTGTTTTATTTTTAGTGTTGATAATATTTTCAAATAAATTTTTATTTTTCTGAAATTTAAGGATAACTAAACTTGTTTACATTTGAACATGAGAAGCCAAACATTCATTCTGGATGTAACTTACGTAACACCAAATTTAATTCTACATTAAATGACTTTTGTGCGTGTGTAGAGAGAGACTAGAGGAGAGGTAAATGAGGACAAAAGAGAGTGATGGAAGGCAAGCGATGTATTGTGTTGGTTTGGAGGATGGTATGGAGAGGGTTGTAATTTGCACGTGAGAGAGGCAAAGGCAAGGGTGAGGACCCCATCGTCTGTTACGTTTTTAGCACACTACAAGAAATAACATTTTTGTCGACTAAAAAATTAGTTGCTAAAAGTTTATTTTTAGTCGGTAAAAGTTATCCGCGATCAATTTTTTTGGTCGCTGCTTTGGTCGCCAATTGAGGGTCGGCAAAAGTAATTCGCGACCAAAATTTTGTTGGTCGAGAAAAGTTAGATTTGCCGACTAAATTTTTGGTCGCTAAATGTATTAGTATTGCGACTAATCCATTTTGTCGATAAAATACTTTGGTTGCGAAAAGTGATATTTTCCCGACCAAATATCTTAGTTGTCAATTATCACATTCAACGACCAAACAAATTAGTCGCCAAAAGTCGAGGAATCACCGACTAACAATTTAGTTGCCAAAAGGTAAGGAATTGCCGACCAATGATTTTAGTCGTAAAAGTGTAGAATTTGACGACCAATTTTTTAGTCACCAAATCTCTCTTTGTTTTATTTTTTTTATTTTTTTTTAGAACAATCAATTTTTGTTTATAAACATTCAATCTAATATCGAGCAAAATTCATTCAACCCGACCACATTGTAGTCTTCATGATTAGACTTTGTTTTCAAAATGTAATAAGAAAACACATTGTAGTCTTCATGATTTAAGATAGATAAAGTGACAAAGAGTGATATCTACTAGTGTTTCCACAAGTATAGTCAGACAAGCGCAAACAACTGCAACAAAATAGAGGTAGAGCTGGTTAGCCCAGTTTGACAACTTATTGCCCTTCACATGATTGTTATTTGTGTTGTTTTTGCTCAGTGAAATTTAATTTACCAAAAATAATAAAAAGACTGGAACACAAATTCAGAGGATGCATAACTATTTGATATCAATCAAGTAGAGAATTGTTCTATTTCTAAAGGGATAGGGCAAGACCCTTAAGAGCATATCATTTCCACATAGCACTTCATAAGCATTGCTAAACAATCTATCATTAACAAAATTGATTTCTAGAACAAGATAAGCAAAGGCTTCGAAACTGATGGCACACAGAAGAGGATAGTGAATGAACTTCATCACGGTTTGAAGAGAGTAAGATATACATAGCCTTAACCCCTACAAATTCCTGAAGGGTCTGGCTTTTCACTAGATGAAATATTAAAGAAAACGGTCAAGCAAATACTTTTGTCGAGGCCACACATCTTTCAAGATGTAGTGTTTTCCTGTCCTATGACTGTATTGGCAACAACATGTCCTTTTTGCAAGGTTTACCATAATTAGTACCAACCTTACAAATAAGATTTAATCCCGAAACTGATGGCACACAGAAGAAGATAGTGAATGAACTTCATCACGGTTTGAAGAGAGTAAGATATACACAGCCTTAACCCCTACAAATTCCTGAAGGGTCTGGCTTTTCACTAGATGAAATATTAAAGAAAATGGTCAAGCAAATACTTTTGTCGAGGCCACACATCTTTCAAGATGTAGTGTTTTCCTGTCCTATGACTGTATTGGCAACAACATGTCCTTTTTGCAAGGTTTACCATAATTAGTACCAACCTTACAAATAAGATTTAATCCAAATTCTACTAAGCAGTCAAGCAGAGAATAGCTGTTTGATTATAGGTACATGATCTTCATCCTAAAGAAAATCAGACAGATAATATCAAATGAACCAACCTTCTCCAAAGATGTGCAAGGTCCAATGATCTCTTGAATTTTAATATCCTTTGAACAATTGATCTCGAGTGTGCCACTGGAAGAAACAAACCAGTATTGAGTTTATTTATTTATTTTGATAAAACAAATCAGTATTGAGTTTATAAAGCCTAAACATAATCCAACATCAAAGTTAAAAGAATTTAAGCAAAAAGTAACAGAAACAAAAGGTCTAATTCCACATATGCATAAACACATAATGCACAGAATAAAGAGACCAAAATTTTAGTTACCACACATAGGTATTTTACTTTAGTGGCAGCCTTGAACATACACAGTTTAGACTTCAGTGTTTACTGATTTTAATGCAATTTTTCGCAAATGAATTACAAAGCCAAGCGCAGAGACCAAACAACAAAATAAAAATACAACATTTTACAATACAACTCCCACAAGGTCATGAAATGAACATAACTCTTTAATTTGCAAGTGACATCCACATACTGGTAATGCAAGTTCTATTCAAATGAATGTAAACAAATAATAAATAAATAAAAAATGAATGGCAGAGTCAAAACAATATCCACCACCAAGTGACTCCCACATGGTTGTGACATGGACACTAATTCCACAATCAGGTGTGACATCCATATGCTGGATTGTCGAAAAAATCTAAATACACCTCTCTCTTTATTGTTCTTTTTGGTGTTGCATCACTGTAGACCACCTAGACTAAAGGGTAGACACCAAGGGAGATGCCAATGGCACTCTCCATAGAAGAAGAGAGAATGGCTTCTGAAAGCCACATTCGTATTAGTATGCAATTTGCTTGATTCTCCTTGATCGTTGATAGTCATGTTTTCCACCTAACAACATCCATTGTAAAGTTTTCAGTGGAGGTATTTCCTATGAAGTATATTCCCAGTGAAAAGGGACTTTTCTATGCCTGAACAAACACAATTGTACACACAATCATTAGTTGTTACTTTCTTATGTATCAATTTAGGTTTAAATTCCCCAGTTAAAGCAATCCCCAACTACAGGATCTGAACCATCTCCATCACATCATCAATGGTTGTGAAGAGCAAACTCAACATATCTTTATTTCTAATTCAAAAACAATTGAGAGAGGATTTAAAATTCTAAATGACAACAATTATAGACCTCTAATTTTGAATTTTAATATGAACATTAGATAAATGATAAAATCGAAAGAAAAACCAAACTATACTAACAAATATAATATTAGAAGAGGAATAGG